CCTAGGATGAACAATCGAAATGGATATATGTCCATACAAATGATATATTACAAATGACCTCTTGCCATTCACCTTATTGCGGGCTATTGATGTGAACAATGAAAGGCGCCATTCCTAACTATACCTAAGCACAATATGTCTCACTTGTAAACTGCAATTAATAGCGAGTGGCGTCATTCCGCTCATGTGGTGGTGGACTGGCAACTTCTTTTCTCTCATTCGGGTTTTTTACGTAGTTCACCTGAAATTCCGTCAAGAGCTCTAAGGTGTCGAGGCGTGACGGTATAGAGGGTAGAACATATAAAATAGCCCGGTTTAGACCTCCAGGACGGCAATCCTGCAAGCGTCAGACCGAGTTCAATGAGTCTTCCACCTAGCAACCTCTTTGGCAGAATAAATCAAACGCTGCGAAGTTTACAATAATGCTCAGGATTTATTAAGAGACAAGGTGGACGGTATGCGGTCGAAAAGTTTGCTTCAGCTGCACAAGAAGATTACCGGGAATTCCTCTCTCAGGTTACACAAATTTCCATCTCGAAGCCTCATAAGGCTCTCAGCATACTTTTTCCATTTGGAGCAAATGGGAAATGAATCGTAGAGGTCACACAGGGGCACATATAGTGTAGTCCGCTGCGGACGGTTGGGCGTGTCAAGAGGGATGAGTTTGGCGCGGTGCTAGACTCCATTCTACACCAGTTGTTAAAGCGAGCAAGTGATATGACTGTATCATATTTTCGTATTACTCGTTTTCTACCACTTTTTGTCGCATGCGCGCTTCAACAAGAAGGCAGAGAACGGCTTTGACGGCGTGACACACTCATACTGCCTGACACGCCCAACCGTCCGCAGCGAACTAGAGTATACGGCACTTTCCCCTCCCAGCAGGTCGAATGCATCCCCCACCTTGGAAATAACGCGACACATGCCTACCTGGTCGGAGATGTCCAAAACAGAACCTCTGAATAAAAACTTGAACCAGTCAGCTTAAAACTTTCTGCTCAGATATCCCATAACTGTCGAACTTCAATGCATACCTGTTCCCCACATTGTTCAAAACATTCCCCTTTTTGACAGCCCATCAAAAAGCGTATCCGAACGGACGTAGTCTTCACAATTACAACTCAGCAATGACAAAACTGTTTCGGCTCGGAACCACATGATATGAAAAAATAAGTGACGCAAAATTCTCTGGAAATGCATACATGCTTCGTATCTTCCAGATGAGGGCGTGGCTGCGTGGTTCACTTAACATGGCGTAGGATGCATCTTGGGATATTTTCGTTTCAGACAACTGTCACCCTGTTTTATATTATACAAAGACATGATTACGACTGCCTGGAAACGAAAATATCTCACTACACATAGCCGCCGCCACTCAAGTGGTGTACGCAGTCACGCCTTCCCCCACTCAGGCGCTATTGAGTGTACTACATAATTTTTTCTAAGAAATACATTCTAGATATTAGAATGATTTGTCGCGCAACGGGAGTGAAGAGGTAAAAAATCGTTCCATAGAAGAATGTATGATTACGCAGACTCGCTAGACTCGCTCTAAAAATGTGACTTTCAATTAATGAGCTAGCAGAACATAACGTTGAACACAATCTTCGACATTAGCTTGTACTCACTCAGAAGACTTTTATTTTTTAGTTTCCATTGTGTGAAGAAAACAATGAGCATGAGCTAGAGGACAAATCAGCAAACATTTTATACAGATACTAACTCTAAACGCCATGAACAACTAGCTCAGAGGAACGTTTACGTTTTAAAAAGTGAAAGGGTGCCATCACATGTTATAGTGATAAAATACGAGATCTTCTTTAGAAGAAACAAATTCACAACTTGCAAAACATAACGGAGAAAAAGAAACATAATTGCATGCTTGATCATTCATTCATATTCTGAGGAAATATGGTAATCATGATTTGAGGACTTTCTGGATGTTGATGAATTGCCTCTCAGCAATGCTGGGTACTCTCCAAAAGCGACTCGTTATCACTACTTACAGTATCACTGTTATCTTAGCTGCTACTGTAGAGGGTACCGAAAGTCTGACATTGTTAATTTCCGCTGCGACTCAGTAGATCTGCTCGGTCGGAATCGTTCCGAGAACAGAACGATCTCTTCACTTGGTGATCGATCTCGGCACCCACTTGGCAATTCTGATGAGCGCAGTGAGTCACTCGTAATTCTATGGCCTGCAAAAACTATGCTTGGAAGACTCCAAAGGAAAAATCCGCTGGAATAAAGGGACCTGGACTTGAATGGCCACTTAATTCGTCGAGAATTGATCCCGTATTGAAAGTGTGACGATGAGTTATGACCGTAAAGCAGAGGTAAGTATTGCAGGCTCCCAGCGGACCATACCTACAAATAATGAGGTACACGAAAACCATTTCTAGGGTTCTCCAAAACTGTTGTGAAACTCACAATGGCGAGCATAGCCCCGCTACTGAACTTGGGCAGGAAAAAATGTATAGACGGGTGACCGTACAGAGGAGCTTCCACAAAACCGCTGAAATTCTCGCTTAGTAACGCTTTTTACGCAGTCACTACTCACTCTCTTTTCAAAGGCTTAATAGATATCCCACCTTGGAGTAAGTCTCACAGTCGGTAGCCAGTCAACAATGAACAAAGCCATGACGGGTGGATTTTCTGCAAAAATTCTGCTTAAATTTATGAGTACACAGGCTCGTCAATTCAAGAGTTTGTAAAAAACACACTGAAATATACCTCTTGAAACTGACTGCTAGTCTTTGCCCATCAGGACTCAAGGTCAAACTGTGAACCCTTCCACCAATCGTAACAATTTCTCTGGAAAAAACGAACGAAAAATAAGGATAAGGAATGAAAGATAATGAAAATGAAACAGGTAAATACTTGGAGACATGCAATGATACGTTGTGAATAAGGACAATCCGCGATTTGAAAATCAGCGATTCTGTATAAGACGAGTAAACGCATCGGTCAGAAGAATTCGCGATTCGTGAGAAAAAAGACAAGGAATTTTCATGGTTGCACATGCCCTCCGAGTGGCCAATTCTTCCAAATCGAGGATTGTCCACATACGCAAAGTGTGAACCCAAAGAAAGAAAATGAACACTGGAAAACATTCAAAAAAAATTATGGAAAACA